AGGTGGAGAAATCTGCTTGAAGTAGTATTTCAGTTTTAAAAAAAAAAAAAAGTAAAATGTGGAATGAAAAAAAAAAAGGGGGGGGGGGGGGAAGGGGGAAAAAAAAGAAAGCTCTGCTGGCAAAACTAAGGCTGCTTTGTGCTGCTGTGAGAGAATGGGACAGAGAGGTCCGGGGTGGGAATCCTGTAGGGCAACAGTGCCCCTGACGCCTGTGTCATGAAAATATGCCTCAAGTTAACTATTGTCCTCTGACCTCAATCCATGCTGAAACAGGGGCTTTGCATAATCATTGAAGGAGACGGGTTCCTGCTCCAAAAGATGTTATGTTTTGAATTGCCAAAATAGACAAAGGAGACATTGTCAGCCCTTCACACATGGGAAATGGAGGCAGAGAGAGAGATTTGTCTGGGGCACATAGGCTAATTTTGACAGAAGGGGCACTTAGGCTCAAGTTTCCTGAATTCGTTTGTGTACTACAACCGCAAGATTGCCCTTCCTTTCTAATACTGGATTTTTTTTTTCTCCCTGAAACTTCAGTTCTAATACAACGTTGTTTATCAAAAACATGATTTCCTTTTGCTCTGTTTTAATAAATACGCTAGTGATTCTGTCCTCAGACAAAACTGTGCAGCTTGCATGTACATCTGAGTTGCAATGCTGAAGTTGCAAATGTCTCAGGGATGCCACCCTTCAGGTGGATTTTCACATTGGGACCACCAGGGACAATAATGCAAGGAAAGGCAGAGGTGTGACTTTGGCTTCTGCTTTTCTGTGTCCTCTGGGGATCACAACCCCATGGATATGTAGAAGGAGACCATGCAAGGGTAGGAATGCTGTTCTGCCCAGGGGAAGAAAAAGAAAAATATCTTACTCACTAGAATGTTCATTTTTCTTGCTCAAACTTGTTAACTCCAGGAATGCCAGTGAGACTTGGCATGGCATGACCAAACTGGGGCTGTTTGGTTTTTTTATGAGGCAGTATTGAGTGGAACCATCTGGGCTAGGAGAAGACCACACTTCTGAAACGAGCCTTTAGGAATACTTAAGTTAAGTAGCTGTCTGGGGCACCACGCTGAAAGGAAGGGCACTCACAGCTGCCTGTATTTTATGGGTTTATTTTATCTCTGATGACAAAAGAGAACTTACTAGTCATGTGGTTCCTCATAAATTTCAAGCCACTGCTGACAAGTGGCACTGCCTGCGTTCTCAACCACGCTGGCGCAGAGTTCCCCCAACTTTCTGGCTTGTGATGTTAATAACAGTGCTGCTAATGGATGATGCTTTAGAGAGATATCTAACTTTTCTCTGAACTTCAAGGCAATCCCCAAGTTACAGTTTGAGAACGGAAACTGAAGTATCTTAAGCACCTTGGATGAGTACTTCCGTGGTCATTCGTCTATATCAAAGTGTCTCGTGTCTCTGGTTCCCGAGGCCCCAGTCTTCCTAAAGGTGTGCTGTTCCCTCTCCTCAGAGCTGAGGGAATCTGCACCTCTGAAACCAGTATCCTCCCAGAAAGCTAAATACAGGTTTGGGAGCATAACTTTCGGTATGTCGATGGTGCATCTTAGCTTAGGCAGATTAAACTATTCTTTTGCATTGTGGTCTGTGTTTGGGTTTGGGGTGGTTTTTATGCCCCATTGGGGCAGCTTCCTGAGGTACCTCCAGGCACCTGGTTCCATTGCCTGTATTCCAGTTTCCAAAGACACATCTTATTTCTGTGTTCAGAGGCAAACTCCCCCCTTTCAAGCACTTTTCTGTCACAGACCTGGAAGGGGGCACATCAAATTCAGTATAATTTCGAAAAATGTAACCTGTTTTCCTTTGCTTTCAGTTCACTGAGATGAATCTTAGAGAGTGATCGCTCATGGTAAAAATATTTACCAGCAAATCACCTCAACTAAGATAATAGCTCTTATGGGGCTGCTGTGAAGAAAGAAATACTTGCTCCTTAACCTTTTTTCAGTCCTTGGCCTGTTCAAGCTGTCTCTGTTTCCCTAGAAGCTTTGCGTGATATTTATTAATCTGATTTATTAATCTGATTTACTAATAGACTCCTGAAGTTTAAACAGAGGATGAGACAGAGAGAAGAGACAAACTGGACTCGGGCTTAGAGGAATCAGATTCGTGCCAGCTCAGCCACAGACACCCATGTGACCTTACACACATCATTTAATATTTGTGATTCCCCTGTCTGCAAAATGCAGATGCTAATTCTTCCTTTTTTCCCCCCCCTATCCATACTGGTGTAGAGTGCAGGTTTGGACAGTCATCAGCTCCTCCTGTGTCTTTGGATACTTCACAAATGCGTCCCTGATCTTAGGTGAAACATCTAGTTGCTTCTGTAAGACACATAATAATAATTGGCTTCAACCTGCTTCAGGAAAAAATGCAACCTTTGGATTACATTGGTGTAAATAAAAATTCCATTACAGTTCACAAGTCAAAAAAATGCTGGTAGTGTTTAGCATCAATGTCTGTCACTTGAACATCTGGCATTCATCATCACTTTCCTTTTCCTTCCACTGTCATATTTTATCCCCATCTGTTAGAGGTTTCTTAGCACTGTCTACATAAATCATAGCTGCGTCTCAGTCTGGGTAGTTGAATCATTACAGGCTGCAATGTAAATGAAGGAAAAAGAGGTAAATTTAAGGGAAATGTTTCTCTCCGCTCCTCTTCTTTCTCCCCCCTCCCTGTCCACAGCCAGTACTAGACAGCGTTACTGTCTCGCATGATACTCCTGCTATAAAGAGAGATGGAAAAGTTTCCAAGAATAACAAATGTTTTTACCAGCCCTAGTTCTGAAGGCAGAGGCGCTGAAGCCTGAGTGGACACCCATTGCCATTGTTGGAAAGACCAAAATGTACTGCTTTGGAACACCCCTTCAGCAAGTTAATAATAAATCAGGAAAGCAAACATTCCTTAAAATCAGACTGCCCGGGCAATGTCTTTGATGTATTTTTTTAAAATTAATTTACTCTTATTGCAGTAATTTAGGTTACTGCTAGGAAGAATAATATTGAAGGTGCTGGGAAAATATGGGTGTGTTAATATTAGCCAAAGAAGAATATTTTTACTTCTTTTTTTCCTCAAAACACTGTGCAGTGCCCTCATAATGGCCATCACTTCCAGCTCTCCTGAGCCGTGCTGGCAGGGCAGTGAGCCACAGCAGCATTCCAAAGATGCATTTCTGATGGGGAAATGAATCCACCCCCCCCATATGAAATATTTCCAGTAGCATGAGTGCATTACCCTGCCAGAGCCAGGTGCTGCCGTTTGTGCACAGTGTCACACAGCCCCATATGCTGGAAGCACACGTGGATTTAATTCCCTGCCAGCTTTGGCAGCTAGAGAAGGTATTTCCTTGTTCTAGAAGCACTCAGAGACACCATAGTGCCAAGCTGCTGGAAGTTAGGGGGAAAAAAGGCCCTTTTCCCCCTGTCTGGAGAGGGCTGTTGCAGACTGCCATCGCTGTCAGTCCCAGAACTGGATCCAGGCTCAAGGTGGGCTGAAGCTGGAGGGTCTCTCTGTACAGCTGTTGTGTTTTCAGGTGAAGGGACAGCTTGTGTTGTCGGGGACTTGACTATACTTGGAACAGCAAGAACGCCCCATGTCACTATGTGTGTTCCTCCCAGTTGCCTTGCTTTTTCACCCTTTTGAGTCTCATGTATCAAAAGCGTGTCTTAAGTTTGTTTGAATTGATAACAGATGAGCTGAAATGAGAATAAACTATTGCTACTATTGCTGGTTGTCAACTCACGCCTTCTCTTTCTACAAAGCATATTGCATTCCTGATTCCCCATTATTTCTCACTTACATTCCTGTGGTGTTACCCTGCTACCCAGTGCAGACTCCCAGATTTCAGTTCAGCAGCCAGATCAATCAAGCAGTAGGTGTCCTGGTCAGCATCTGCTCAAAGGGAAAATGACAGGCCCAGCTCATGGACGGAGCAGTTGCTGGTCTGTCCTGCAGAGCAAGTCCTGGCTGATTCGGAGGGCACGTGGTCATGTGAAAGGCCAGGCAGACCCTGAAGTCACAGCTGCTCTCTGAAGTTGGTAGATCCGATGCTGTAATGTTGATTAACTCTTGTCTTTTCGATATCTCAGCTTGCCAAGCATCTTTCTTGTTACTAGCAGAATATTTATTTTCTTTTCTCTTCTTCTTGTAGAAAATTTTACTACATCACACTGCTGAGAGACCCCGTATCTCGTTACCTCAGCGAATGGCGTCACGTCCAACGAGGAGCTACTTGGAAGACCTCCTTGCACATGTGCGACGGCAGGACACCAACTCCTGAAGAGCTGCCATCGTGCTATGAGGGCACGGACTGGTCAGGCTGCACGCTGCAGGAGTTCATGGATTGCCCATATAACTTGGCCAACAACCGCCAAGTGAGGATGTTGGCTGACTTGAGCTTAGTGGGCTGCTACAACATGTCCTTCATCCCAGAGAACAAGCGAGCACAGATCCTGCTGGAGAGCGCAAAAAAGAACCTCAAAGACATGGCCTTCTTCGGCCTGACAGAGTTCCAGAGAAAGACTCAGTACCTGTTTGAGAGAACTTTTAACCTGAAATTCATCCGGCCCTTTATGCAGTACAACAGCACCAGGGCAGGAGGGGTGGAGGTGGATAATGACACCATCCGGAGGATTGAAGAGCTCAATGACTTGGACATGCAGCTCTATGACTATGCAAAGGACCTCTTCCAGCAGCGCTACCAGTACAAACGGCAGCTAGAGAGGATGGAGCAGAGGATAAAGAATCGGGAAGAGAGGCTTCTTCACCGGTCCAATGAAGCACTTCCCAAGGAAGAGACCGAAGAGCAAGGACGCTTGCCCACGGAGGACTACATGAGCCATATTATAGAGAAGTGGTAGCCTAGGCAGACTTTTATATTGATGATATTCTAGGGTTTCCATATAAAAGATCATGGAAGTAAAATTACAAAAACAACAAAAAATATTTTATTTAAAAAGCAAGTCTGTAAAACAGAAGATAGATTGCTTCCTTAAGCATAGGGTCTTTTTACTGTTTCTTACAAGACCGATGAGATTCTTAAAAAAAAATAAATAAATACATAAAAATAAAAAAAGGGTCAACATTATAATGCAGAGGTAAAAAATGCACAAATGCAGTTACCCGCTCTTATGGCCAAATACGAAAGAATGTTTCTTATCCTCACAATTCAAACACAAATGGCAGAAGTAGGATTTTAAAAATCTGTCTATCCCCTGAGCGTAATGATACGAAGATACATAATTAAAAAAATGAGGTTTTCTTTTGTGGGTGTTTTTGGGGGTGGGGTGGGAATTGCATTGCTTGTAAGTAAATGATAACTCAGTTGAGGATGGATGTGCTGCCCTGTCAGGCGGCGCGGATCGAGCACAAGGGCGGTCACTTCATTTCAGCTGGCAGCCACTGCCAGAAAGTAGAGCACCATAAAAATAGAAGAACATCAGAGGATGAGAAACATTGACACAAATTGACTGTGGCCTAGGATATGTACTTAGCACAGTGGTTTTGATACATTGCACTGGTATCACATATACATAACGCAGCTTCATCACGAGAATAATTGGGAATTCGTGCACAGAGCTCCCAGATTTGTTTCATTGGCAGGTCCCAAAACGAGTGAAAAGCCAACCAAATTCCACATAGGCTCACGTGCCTGTGTGCACTCACATGCCATCCTGTCACCCCGCGTAACCGCCGCCCATGCCGTCATCAGTATTATGTGTTAACAGCACATGGCAAACCTATCCTATGTACTGAAAAAAAAAAAAAAGAGGAAGAAGAATTTAAATAGCAATACTCCCTCGTAAATCTGCGCAACAGGTTCCAGGGAAGACCCTGCAAATAATCAGTCCTTAATGGGAATATGATGAGGGGGTGATTTTGTTTTGTTTGTTGATACGTGAAATACTGAACTAGAACAAGCATACAGACGTACCCGTATCTGTATTTTATCAGTTATTTTCCCTTGCTTTTACCAAGAGGTAATGGGCATCAGCCTGCTTCCAGTGAAGTCACTAGAACTGATTTAAGTGGGAACAGGATGGGGCTCTCTTCCAGAGCTGTGAAAATTTCTGACTGTGGGTCTGAATTAATGATGAGACAGTGCACATTGTCTTTTGGCAGAGTGCCTGTTCTGCAGCTCTTACTTTAAATGAACAAGCTGTGTTCATAAAACTGGAAAGGGGAATCATGGATAATGTTTTCTTAGTCTCAGACCACTTTCAAAGCAGAACTCTTTCTCTTTCAATGCTGTTTTCTAGGGACTCATGTAAGTTTAATCCTCCAGTGTGGTGACAGTCTAACCAGGTTCTGCTTACTGACTTTTGAGTCATAGAACAACAATGACTTCTCTAATTCCTCTTCCCACTCTCCAAATTAAAGTATGGCTTATTTTCTTGCTGTTGCAAGCACTTCTTTGTTTGGCTGCAAGCATGGAAATGAAGCAGTTTTTGCCTGTTTCATGTCTCGCCCCGTTATTACTCAGCCTGTAAGACCTGAACCAGCTATTGTTTGGGGTAAACTGTGAACCAAATGGAATATGATTTGATTTTCAAAGGCCACGTTAACTGCAGATCAAATACGGCATTGAAATCACTAGAGGAGAGGCAGAGAGCTGGTGCATTCAACTTTAGCATGTTGTTTTTACAGCACCCTTTTCTCATCACACGAATCCACTGAAGTGCTGCTTGTTTTGTATTTTAATTCTCTCCCTGCCTCTGTACACCGTTTCCAACAGTTTGAAATTCAGACTTGAGTTTCACAAAGGAGGGGCTGCCTTAAGCAGAGGAGCTGCCTTGTTTCTTCTGTGTACGCCCTGGGGGATACACCTTGCTTTTGGAGATGTTCTTCTCCAGAAGAGTAAAGATGACTAAAAACTTAAAGAGCAGAAAATACAAGCAGCACTTTGGGCTCAAATACAACCCTGTTACAGCCCTTATCCAAAGTCCACTGAAGTCGAAGGGTGTCTTTCCTGTTGATTTCCAATGGGTTTTGATGGGGTCTGCATCCTTGTGCTGCCAAGTGCCCAAGCACACTCTCTTTTGTCTCCAAGCACAGTGGGTCGTTGTTACCCCTGGATTTGGCTGGTACCAGTATTTGCTAGTGGTGTTGCTGTCCTTAAGGTCCTGTCTGTGCTTCTGCCCCAAAACAGCCGCTGCTCCCACAGGTGTGTAGCCTGGCCGTAGGCATTTCCTCCTAGCCGAAAAGTGGGAAGCAAAATGAAGCCATTTTCGGTTGTTGGCTTGGGGGCAGAAGGTATTACAAATCCAGTTGGCTCATCTCTGAATTCCAAGACTGGGAGGAGCTATGTCTGCTAGTTCCCAGCGCTTTTATGTGTTGCTGTAACTAAAGAAAACATTTATATTAAAAAAAAAAAAGCCATTTTACAGGCTGTTTACCCACAAAACCAATACGCAAGATATAAAAAGCAACTGTTCTCTATGCACAGTTCCCAGCTTTACCCAAAGGCTTTTCCCTGTGCGTCCTGGATCCGTAGGGAATCCACACCAGAGGTGCACGTGGGCTCAGCCCCGGGGAAAGCCGCGTACGCCGGCACCGGCTGCTGAGAGCCCTGCTGTACCCAAGGCCACATTCTGCTCTCCTCTACCAAAGGGTGACAGTAAACGGGGAATGTGTGTGATTGGGACCGGTAACAGGATTTGGCCCGGTTTGCCCGAGCTGTTTCCGTGTTTATGGGCTCTGAGTAACCAGCTGGGTTTTAATGGATCTTATCTGCAGGGTTCTCTGAAGCAGAGGCAGCCTCTGACCCTAGAAGCATGTCAGTAGAAGACCTTGTTTCCAACATTTTCTTTGTAATATATTGCAGTAACAAGCAAAAGAAATGAAACTATCATCTTGAAAACTGTCTTGTTATTGGTTTCACTTCAACCCACAAAAGGAGGGCTGACCCCCCCCCCCACCCAAGGCTTAGGACTGAGGCAGAAACTTCTAGATTCAAATCCTGCGCCTGGCAACAACCTCAGTGTCTCCCCCCGTACATTGGGAATAGCAAATTTACACACTGCAAAGAGTGGGTGAGTAGTACAGGGCACTTGGAAGCAGATTCTAATATCGGAAATTAAAAGAATGACCCAAAAGCCATCGCTCACCCTGGCTGCTGTGCTGGTCTGTTCATGGCTGCAAGCCATGCTTTCATTTATTGTAAGTGCTGCCTGCCAGAGCACGGGCTGCAGGACGTACCTGGCACTATCTTCCTCCTTTAGTGGGTTTAAGGGAACTTTTTTAACATAATGTGAATGTAGTTTTTTGTGATTTCTATGTACTACGGTTTGAAGTGGTACAATTTCTTTTATTTTTAGGACTGATCATTTGATGCTACGATAACATGAGAAATGTATGTGTAGTTTTAAAACGATTGGAGAACAACGGCTTTAAGGCCCTCCAGCAGAAGTAGTGGCCAGATAGTACATTCGTCTTCGATATCTGCCCCTTTCTTCCAAAAAGTTTTTCCTTCTTCTCTACATGAAGTGTTTCTTCACGGGGCCCATCAATGCGTCACGATCCAGGTCAGGATAGGTGAGTGCTGGGTACAGTGAGGGCAGGTGCAAGTGGTGACCTGTCCCTTTCTGGAGCTGGTGAGACAGTTCCCCTTCAATTCAGACGTTACCCAGTTGGATGCTTGTCCATCCCACAATGTTTCTGCTGTAGTGGGGAGCTGCCAGCAGACTCCACTCCTGCTTTAGGAGGGTTGAGAGGCCAAGACAGCCTGCAGCGCTAAAAAGGAGGAGGAGGAGGTTGTTTTTGCTTTTAGTTCACCTCAACAGTGTTAACTTCACTGCTTGGTAGGTTGTTGTTGCTCATTTGTCTCATCCCTGCTAGCTCTGTTGAAGGAGTTTGCTTCCTACTCCAAAGTTTCCCAGACAGCCCAATGCCACCTTGGATCCTACCCAGGTCACAAAATGCGGGATGGACTGGCCAGGCTGCAGACCCAGGCTGGCGTGGGGTTCAGACTCGCAGAAAAACTCCCAAAAAAGGATCAGTGTGAATTTCTGGCTCGCCTGAATTTCTCCCTTCATGCCCAACATTTTGGAATGAACGGGGAGCACTTCAGGTTGATGTTTTTTTGCACCCCCTAGTCCCTTACTTGCTTACAAAACTGGGATGGCAATGGAAATGGCATAAAGGAAGGTCCCAACAAGCTTTTGAATCCTCTCTCCCAGGGCTGTCCTGTAGGAGCAGGAAAGGCAGTGCTGTTGCTGAGGTCACAAGCAAGGAAGGAACCACCATGGTGGCAGCACGGACACACGCCAGTTAGGAAGTTTTCACTCTGAGCCCATCAGATCACTTCCCAGAGACCCCTGAACAGCTACAGAAGGTAACGAGTGATGTTACAGAACAGGGCCTGACCTAGGTTTATATCCTGGGGTTACTCCAGCTTCTAACTGACATTCAGTGTTACTGACACCCACTCCTGTCCCAGAGGATTTTCCGAATGTCACAAAAATGGGTAGCACTTCAGAGATTTGCAACACAGACGATGCTAAACGCTGTGTTTCCAGGGGTGCAGCTGGGAATGCAACTCGTGCTACCTGCTGGATTCAAATCACAGGGCTGGCTGTTATCTTTTTGTCCTTGTCTTCACTAATATGAGCAGAGCACGTTCCCGTGGCAGCAGCAAATGCAGGATTCACTGCCCGATCCGCTGTGGAGCCAGGCCTTGAGAGCACAGGTCAGTTAGTGATAGTTCAGGTGAAGCTCTTGTCTCCTGCCGTCCGAGCTCTCCGGGGCTGGTTGTTTCGCCCCATCCCCAGGAGTTCTGCCAAGGGGAGTGCATTCCCAATAAGCACGTGGGTGTTAAAGCCTGTATTGTCCCAGCTGCAGGTGGTTTTCTCTGTAATTTTTAGCCATGCAAGCTGAAAAAGAAAAAAAAAAAAAAAATTTGCAAATGAGTCTGTCTCATCCCTCAAAGCTCCACAATTCCCCCTCCCTGTTTTCCCCCAGGTGTCAATTCTGCAGACTGGATTGAGAGAGTTGTACTATAATGAATAATTTTATATTCAAATGGTTTACTGAGCATGATTTGTTTTGTACATATTGGAATATGATTTAACTTATTTTTATTGCCCCCTTTCATATTTTTTTTTTTGCATAAGGAAGACAAAAATCCCCACCCTCTCTCAATGTGAAGTTCCTCTGTGTTTGTGTGTAGTCTGCCAGGCAAACACGCAGCAGCCACAGCATTTCTCACCATCCCTACCCCGTATCTGATTTTATTTTTCATTTGTACCTGGTTTTGTCTGAGGCTTTGCTTATATTAGAGTCTCTTCTTTCCTCTCCGGTGCACAGTCTGCACAGGGAAGGGGAGGGGCAACGCAGGCAGGACTTTCTTTTTCTCCCCCTCTGCTTTCTTGTGTGCTTTACCTACCAAGGAACTCAGTTCTTAAATCTTCAAGGAGTTGTGTGACTGAGGGTAAAAAAAATAAAAATACAACTGCCCCCCCCCATACCCGCCTTCCATCCTCCGTATTGTAGATCAAACAGATTCAGCTTCTCTGAAAGTGATTGTGGCTGGAGTCATTCCATTGGGCTGAATGTGTATGGTTTGCTTTATTTTCTTTTTTCCCACTTCTGGAACTTAAAAAATAACAAAAAATAAAAGACAACTGTTTAACTTGAGCCAAGTAACACTTAAAGCTTTATATATTTATTTATAGCATCTTACAAAAAAAAAAAAAGTGTTAAAAGGTTTTTTCTTTTCTTCCACAAGAAAAATTGGATTAAAAAAAAATAATCATCTAATTGTTTTTGTCTAGATCAAGAATGAATGTTAGCAGATGAAATAAACCCTAAAACAGAACATTTTGTTGTGTGTGTTGTCATTGTATTGGCCTTTGGATGCTGTTCTGGCATGATACGCCTTGCCTTCCTGTATTACAGGGAGATAAAGCTGCCAGTGGAGTTGATGGAGACTATTTCTCTTCTAAAAAACCAGACTCCCAACACAGAAATATTCAAGCAGAAACTGCAGTCTGTTTATTCCCATTGTTACACTTGAGCCAGCATTACAAAAAGCCTTTAAATCTCCTAAAACCTATCCTCTTTTAAAAATTAATTACCTTTAATACTATACAGTCCTCTTTTCTTTTTCACAGACATTGCAATGCACAGATTTGCAGGCAATAAATGGTGGTTGTTATACCAAATATTACAGAAAAATCAACTTTTTTTTTTTTTTTTTGGTTTCCTATTCAGAAGTACTTTGAACAAACATGATCTGTGAAAAGGCTCTCTCCAGTTACAGAACTGAAAGAAGCAGTGCACCTGGTTTTGATGAAGTAAGTCAGGGGATAAGAAAATGATGATACAAGAGCTTCACAGTGACAACAGCTAGATGTTTGTGCAACTATAGCAAGTACCGCTGCTGTTGTTTCACCCAAGCACCATTACCCTCCAGTTTCCACTACAGGGGCTGGCGGCAGCGTGTGAACCATCCCGGCTACGCTGCTTGGGTGTGTTTTCTCTTCTTCCTGTGAAAGTAAACCCACTCCTGTCACTGGAGGCCTAACCGGGTAATATTTATAAATGTGCCACTGGCAGGAACGCTGCACTGTGTTAGTTCACACCGCTGAGGGGGAGCTCAGCAGGTTTTACTCGCTGGGTGGCACAGGCGCTGGTGGAAGGCCCAGGTAAGCGTCGGCACGAGGGTAACATCCCTCTCAGTTTGAGGGGAAGCAAAGGCACAAAAATTTGGCAGCCATTCACCTCAGGCCGTGCCGCCAGCCATCACACCCGCTCCTCTGGCCCAGAGCCCTTGGCCGTAACCACCAAGAGAGGGTTCCTTGACGGGGCTGCTCCATTTAACCTCCCATCGATACCTCCTCCTCACCACTGCCGCTGATGGAAACAGCCGGGCTTTGATTAACCTCCTAATTGCATTCACCTTGGCACGACGCGGCCCGCCCCCCGCTCGACGCCGCCGGCGGGCGGGTCCCGCCTCACGCGGGCGGAACCTTCTCGAAGGGCCGCGCGCGCCCCCTCCTTCCCTCGCGCCGGCTGCTTGCGGCGGCTCTGCCCCTCAGCCCTGAAATGGCGGCGCTGCCCCTCAGCCCTAAAATGGCGGCGGCCGGGGGCCAACCGCCTCCTCTCCCTTTTCCTACCGCTTCTACCCTGCCGGTAAGTCCCGTCCCGTTCCTTTCCGTCCAGTTCCTCCGTGGGGAGGGCTCCCGGGCCCGGTAAGTCCCGTCCCGTTCCTTTCCGTCCAGTTGCTCCGCGGGGAGGGCTCCCGGGCCCGCGGGGAGGGCGGAGCACCGGCACCCCTCGCTCCCTCCCATTTGCTCCCCTTGGGGCCGGGGGAGGTGGTGCCTGTGGTGCGAGGCTGATGGTGGAGCAGAGGCTCCCTGCCGGCTCTGGGATGTGCTCTGCAGGCCGCCATGGGGTTTGCACCCACGGCCTCTCTGCGGGGGGCTCTAGGTGGCCCATGCAGCCCTCCTGTGCCTCAGGGCCCTGGGTGGCAGCTGAGCCCCCTCCCTTCTTGCCGTCTGCTTTGAGTAACTTGGTTTAGTGGGAGATGTCCCTGCCCAGGGCAGGGTGGGTGGAACTAGATGCTCTTTAAGGTCTCTTCCAACCCAAACCATTCTGGATTCTATGATTTTACCCACCAGTATTGCTTTTCCAGTAAGCAGAGTAGACACTAAAGCGCCTGGCTGCCTTAGTTGGGGCAGGCTGTGCCAGGAGTTGGGGCATTCTTGGTGCTGAGACCTGTGTGCTTCTGAACCTGGGTGCTTAGAATGTCATTATCATCATCATCCTCCAGTAGCTTGGAGCATGGTGGGCTGGTGGCCTGTGGTCCTTCCAGAGCTTTAGGAGGATGCAGCAGCCTGGGTACGGACACAGCTCGTTCTGCTGGATGGAGTCCCGTACTGTGGCAGTGTTCCTGTTTGAAAGCACTGTTTTCTCCTCCTTTATCTTCCTTTCCATAGAGCCTCAAAGACACATATCCACATGAAATCTCTGCAGGCAAAGTGCTTTCATTTGCACGTGGTCTTTCTGCACCGTCTTTAATATGGTTCTCTCTTGCTCAATGCTAGAAGCTTCCAGAAAACTGAGAGATGGTAGCTAGCAAACAGATAGAAGGAAGGCTTCTATTGCAAGAACTGCTGTAGGAAGGGGAGAAAGGATGCTGAAGGAGGGTTAAATGAAGCCAGGAAACCAGTTGCTGAGGAGAGGACCTCCAGAGGGTTGTATTTTTTCTTGCTGGAGCCTTGGTCACACTGATGATTGTTTGGTTTCCTTATGCTTGAGTCCAAGATGTTCCTGTTCCTGTTATATTCGGTCATTTTACACTATCCAGCACTGCCCCTGGGGGATGTGCTGCCTCAGGTTAATTGGAAAGTGCCCTCCTTTACATCCTGCTGTTACCCTAACAATAAGCAGCCCCTGGCTGCTCTGCTGCCCCAGGTGACAGCCTGCTCTTCCTGAATGGAAAAGCTGATCCTGACAATACCATATCAGAGGAGGTGGTGCTGAGCTCTTGTCAGAGGGTTGTGTTTTGTTTCTCTGGCTCAGGCACTAGCACAGAGTTACTTTAACTCTTTAATAACATATTTCTTGTGCTGTCCACAAGAGGAGGAAAAGCAGAGCAAGTATGCTTTACAACTAATGCCAGAGGTTTTTTACACTGATTGATCTTTGGGTAGTACAGATTCCTTTTTTCCTTGTTGAAGATTTGTGTGTGAGTCCACATAATGCTTAACAGCCTCAGTGTCAAAAAACAGGAAAAGGGATGGAGATTCTGGCATAATTAAATGTATATCTAGCAATGACTGCATATTTCTATGGATTTTGTAAATAGGGGCAGAGTTTAGGAGGGCAGTTTGTAACGTTTTATGATGCAGTACTTCAGTGGTGCTTACAGTAAGCGTGTAAATAAACTTAGGTACAGATAACATTCTGAGCTTTCTGCAACTGGAAATGTTCATTTGGGCACATCAGCTTAGATCCTCTGCTGCAGAGGGGGAACTAAGACACTTTCATACGTATACTCGAAAGAAACAATGTAGGCTTAATGGTAAAGCAGTTTGAGCTTTACTGTAGTTATTATTTCATAAACTTAAAAGGGTTAGTCAATGAAATATTCATGAAATGAACAATATTTAATAAACCATTGCAACTGCTTTAGCAGATACAAAGCAGGCTGCAAGTGAGGAAGGCTTCACTAGCGAGGCCCCGCACACTTGAATTGATCTGGGAAGTAAGTGGCTTGGAAAAGAAACCATACGTGCTCATATCTTGCAAGCATTCTCTATAAGGCTAAAATGAATAAAATTATCAGTCTCTATTAATATTACTCAGACCATACTGTAGTATACTCAGGTGATTTGGTATGTGGTTCTGTTTCTTAGGTCTTATAAATTCTTTACCGACATGATTTTACTCACTTATCTCTTTGGTGATGCTCTTCTTAAAATATATATTTATTTATTTTTTTTTTCACTCTGAGTGCTTTCAGGTCCCCGCCTGCATATGCCTCTTCCCTAGTTCTGCTACTCAGAAGGTTTGTCCTTAATGAGTTGAGAACATGCACAGTCTCAAGCAGGGATCCTTTTCCTCTTGCACCAGAGACTGGAGAACTGGAATCTCAAAATTTTTGAATCAATACCCAGCCAACAACACAAGGGAAAAGTTGAATACCTGTCCTGGGAGTGGATGAGTGATCGTGGTGCTTTGTAGATGTCTTAACAAGCTGTTATTTATATATATTATATATATTTATTTTGCTCTCCCGGCTAATAATATCATTCTATCAGGCTACGCTTATGGATTCCAGATGTTTGTGCAATAAATGAGTAATAGTGATAAATAATAAACGTTTAATTCATGCTGCTTTAATATATTCTAGTTCTTGCTGGATTCAGTTTAAAAGCTCCTTCTTTCTGTTGACTTAAACCAAATGTTATACTCGGCTGTGCTGTAAATAGTAAAGAAATTCCATGTGGCCTAATCCAGTTAATTCAGGCTGGATACCTGATACTGAAATGAATACGTGGTAATCAGTCATCAATTTTCTGGCATAGGCACTGACAACATGTATAAATCATACAGCCTTTGTGAGAGAGTAAATAACTTCCCCATAGAGCCCTTTCGTTGGGATCATATTATTATTGCCAGACATTGTTTTCTGAACAAGAGCTTGCAGCCAAATTAGTGAGTGCTCAGATGTTTTGCATACCACAACAGCCCCCATCAGTACATGTTTCTACTGATCGTGTTTTCTTTTGTTTCCCTAATATCAAATATTTTGATGCCAAATGAGAATTTATAAACTGATGCCAATTAGCCAACTTCTTGTAGGCTATCAAATTTTACCAGGTTAATGCACAATCAAACCGTCTGTGTTGCTGGAAATATTCAAGATCAGCCTTGCCACTTGGAACTTGGTTCTGGGGTAGTTAATGGAGGCTTTGCTCCCAGACTGGAGAACTTGGGTCTTGATAACTGTGCCACTGGAAGAAATGCATTATCCGACCCTCTGGATTGGGAGATCTGCTGTCAGTCTGCTAAAGTTTCTTGGGTTTTGGTCAAGATCAAATGGGGAGTAATTACAAAGCATTCAAGAGTACGTGGTCATCTGTTCTGAGGGCAAACGAGCCTTCTGAAATAGCTAAAATACAGACATTCAGTTACTTTGGGGGTGGGAGTGGAGGCGATGGCCTAGCTAATGTTATCATGGAACCCTTTATCACAGCTGTTCTGCATAGTTTTTCATGCATTAATTTTTGAGTACTGTTGTGAGGCAGATGATTCTTCTCCTCGCTGGGAAAGCTTGTTGAAGGAAAGCGTGGAAAATGGGGAGCC